GTTTAAATGTGTTTTATTTGCGGATGATACTACATTTTTTTGTTTTATTGTAAAATATAGAACGGATGTTGGAAATGATACAGACAGAATTTGTGAAAATACAAACTTGGTTTAAACTTTATAAATTACCATTAAATTTGGATAAGACTAATTATATGATATTTAGTAATAGAAAGAGAAATGTTGAGGTTTCATTTAAAGTTGATGGTATTGAGATTTGAGTCAGTGAGGTGAAGTTTTAGGTGTTATTACTGATGAAAAACTGACATGGAGAGCTCATAAATTATTTAAGAACAAAAATAGCTGGATCCATTGCAGTACTGTACAAAGTAAAGGAATAATTCAATGATAAAGCTTTGTTTATATTGTATAAGGCAACAAATGTTCCACACTTAATCTATTGTGCTGATGTTTGGGGAAAAGCATGTAAAAAATACATATCCTATTTATGTTTTACAGAAAAGAGCTGTAAGAATTATTACCAGAAAACATTAGTCACCCATCAAAAACATTATTTTATCGGTAAGTTATCGAAGTTCTATGATTTGATTGATTGCAGTATTTTATTGATTAAGTATAGGGCTCACAAAAACATATGACATCCAATTAAATTATGTTAGAGAGACAGAATAGAAGAATAGAACAGAAATAACCTGTATTGTCCCGCCGAGGGGAAATTCAGGTGTCACAGCAGCATCAGTACAGAGGTTCACACACTAGTTATTTTACAAACAGTACACACAAAACACAATTAACACTGACTAGCCATGATACAACTACTAAAAATAAAAAATGTAATATAAAGAATTGTGCAAGAATACAAATGATGTTACATTCTCAAGCGGATAGAGATGTTTGAGAAACTTAAATTCATAACCAGTTTGAAAGAACGGTGTACTTTAATTCAAGAAATAAGATTGTGGAATAATCTGGCAAGTGATGTTATGCCAGCTCATTAAGAGATGATGTTTTGTTGAAGAAATATGAAATAGTATTATGTGYATCTATTTGAATTGTTCAACGTTTTCTCTAAATTGTTTGAATTCCTTTTCTTTTGGAAAAGATGAGCAGATAAGATTTTTTCTTCTTTCTGCTACCTTTCCTTTTGTCATTTGTATTTTTACTGTATAAAGAATTTTTATTTTTTACAGAAATGAATGAACATGAATCAATGAGTCATCATGTAGCAGACACCAGGTGATACTCTGTTCCCATAAGTACCACCTGATTTGTTAATTAACCTTCTGTCCTTAAAACTAAGGACAGGTTTTATCAGTTCTGAGGTTTTCATCTCTTTACCTGTTCCTCAGAGCAAGAGTTGATGAATTCAATAAAGCCCGAGTTCTGGAYGGTCCGGTCTCTGTGTTGTTTCTGGTAAACCAGTTTCTGTGGCAGGTTTTGGATTTATCTGGGTTTGAATGTGTTCTTGAGGTCAGACACGCTATTGGGTCTCAGTAGACCTGTACAGGACCTGTAAGTGTTGGGGTCTCAGTAGACCTGTGCAGGACCTGTAAGTGTTGGGGTCTCAGTAGACCTGTACAGGACCTGTAGGTGTTTGTTCCAAACTGTTTAAAAAAGTAGAATAAAAATGTTAAGTTATGAAACTTAACTTCCTGTTAGGAGCAGAAATAATCTGTATTTTCACTCAAACTGTTGATTTAATCCCATCTGTGTTTGATCTGTGCGTTCTCAGTTTCTACAGGTTTTATAACGGAGCGTCGGGCCGTCTCAACTCACGTGCATCAGAACCACCTGCTCCGTTCACACAGGTGAGTGAGAAACTGCAGCTGGGACTTGGGTCAGAACCATCTGTGCATCAAAACATGTGAAACCATTGGATGGACGGTGTTTCACTCCACACACCCACAGATAATAAACAAGACTTTCCAGACATCAAACTTGGTTTTAGGATAAACAGTTCTATTTCAAGAACTGTGTCAAAGTTTTAAACATATTTTCTTTAGATGTCTTCATTCAACGCCCAAAAAACTTCAAAGAACTGGTAAACAAATGATTCCAGAGTCCAGTTCACTCTAAAAAATCCAGATCCTGATTGATTTTTGACATTTTTACAAAGGGTTCTTTTATAATCAGAGGCCATCTTCACTTTTTAAACTCCAGTCATCACCTGTGCCTGGAGGTTGTGGGAACACAGGCAAACCTTTCTCCATCTGTCATAAACACAAATACATGTCAACAAACAGAAACTTCATGATTGCTGTTTGAAAATGAGTTTATTCTGCCAGAGGAACAGGAGAGCTKAACACAGAGCAAACATTCAGAACCCACCATGATCTGTAGTCTTGTTACCAGGCTCTTAAACCTCATTTAACAATCAAACTAAATTAAAAAGCTAGCAAAGAGTTACTTTAAGGAGGAAAACAAATGGAAAACTAAAACAGGATCAGAAGTGACCACAGCTTTCACAAAAAACAAGCTAAAGATCTAAAGCAAAAGGATTTTCTCTGATTATACATTAAATATATTCTGTAGTATGTCTGCTTAATAAAGACAGAAGATAGTTCAGGTCGGACAAATACACAAAGATATATCCATAACTCAGATTCCTCTCAGTTTGGGTGAAATGTCTTTTTGTTTTGAAACTCTGAAACGTAAAAGTACCACAGATTAAACATTGAGCTTAACTATTAATAATATTAATAAAACAAACAGCTGTCCTGCTTCACAACAACAACAGATTTCTGGATGCATCTATTCACATGAGCGGAGACTTCCCCCGTTCATCTGGGTCCTATGACTTCAGACAGAACCGAGCAGAAACGGGTCRGTTCTGAAGGAGCAGCAGCTGTGGGTTGAAGCTTCAAAGGAAAAGTTAACAGCACACAGAACAGGCAACAACATTTTACTACTTTGTTGAACATTTTCAAATTAGAAACAGAAAAAAAAAAGCTTAAAAACTGTCATAATCCTTCTTGTCCTTTTTGCCTTCGCCCTCGAAACTGTCCGTCCCGTCGCTGTTGTCCCGGCGTCGCTTACGGCTGTTTCTGACGCTGAAGCGGGGGTTCATCTGAGGCAGAGGGTCCATTCCCAGAACTTTATGGATCTGACGGAAGGCCAGCAGCCTCAGGGCAAACTGTAAAATAAAAAAAGGTTCAGGACAGAGATGAAGTTCACCCTGAATCCAGAGGCTCCAGATGTGAGGCTTTACTTAAAGACGTTCTTCTCTCAGTGCCAGCTTTGTTGGTGAAATATTTGATCAGTTTTAATTAATAACTTACTTTATGGACAAAAACAAGACAACTAAATAAAACCTCCACAGAAACTATGATGGAAGCTACTGACATTTTTATTATGCTTAAAATTGTCCGTAAATGTCTGACGGGACTTGTCTTCATCCTCTGCCACTTGTTTGTGGTCGGGTTGCAGAGGCAACATGTCCAGCAGAGAAACCCAGACATCCCTGTTCCCAGCAACAGATGGCATTCCCAGGCCAGCGAGCATACTGTATATAATCCCTCCAATGAGGGTGGAGTTGATACCATGGCCTCAGACTTAGAGGAACTGACTCTCATCCCAGCTCCTTCACACTCAGCTGTGAAGCGCCCCAAACGCTGAAGGTCTTGGCCTGAAGACACCAACAGAACCACATCATCTGCATACAGCAGAGACAAGACTTTGGAGGAGAGGGGGTCCCAAACCAGACACCCTCCTCTCCACGACTGCACCTTGAGCTCCTGTCCATAAACACTATAAACAGGATCAGAGACAAGGGACAGCCCTGGTGGAGTCCAACTCTAACTGAGAACAAGCTTGACTTTGTGCCTAGAATGTGATGTAAGCTCCAGCTTTGGTTCTACAGGGACTGGATCGCTCTTAGTAGCACTTCATACTCCCACAGAATGCCTCGAGGAACACGGTCATAAGCATTCTCCAAGTCTACAAAACACATGTAGACTGGAGAGGCAAACTCCTACGACCCCTTTATCAACTCTGCAAGGGTAAAGATCTGGGGTCAGATTTATAAAAGATAGTGTGGAAACCATACTAAAAGTGAACGTACGGCCAAAAGGCGGAAATGGTGTACGCCAAAAAAAAAATTTCAGATTTATAAAACCGTGCGTACGCATGTTTCTGCACATCTTTCCTTTATAAATCACAGCCGCACCTTAGAATTTGAGCACGAGGTCCCGCCTCAGGTTCTACCCTCTACACGCCCACATTTAACCATAAACAGTCAATGCAAAGTACCTCATGAATGTTAAGATGTATTTAAATCAGTCAGCTGATCAATGTCAAAACAAGTGATTGGTTCAGACTAGGCCTGTCGCAATAGTCAATAAATCAATTACCGTATTTTTCGGACTATTAGCAGTGACATTTTTCCTGAACTTTGAACCATGCAGCTTATAGTCCGGTGCGGTTTATATGTGGATTTTTTTCTTCAGCCACCAGGGGGCTCTTATGCTGCATTTGCTTCAACCACTCCCTTCAAAAAAAGAAAGGAAAAAAAGAAGAAAAAAGCGATCGCTTCCAGAGCCRACTGTTGAACCAGGAAGCAGCGATTTAAAGATAGTCAATGGCCAAAAAACTCATAAAACRGGGATAAAACAGACATTTTTCATGGTGGAATCTGACTGATAAAAACTTTGGAGCTTAATCAAGGACCAGTTTGTGGATAAACGTCGAGTGAAGAGCCACAGAATTTTTTTTTCCTCATTGCACTCCCCGGGGAAGGAATCCCATGCAGTGACGTATGCTGGAGCGGGAGGGCTTTCCCAGCAGCTAGGCTCAGGGTTTATTGGGGGAACTATGAAAGGTCAGTGCGAAAACGAACGCYGAACAACCACGTGACGGCACGCCGACTGGTCAACAGCCGAGCGACCATGCTGCCAGCTTAGCTGGAGGTGTAGCGCCATTTTGTTTTAGCTAGTAGCAGACACGACACGACGGCTCTTCGACAGACACGATATTGGACAGTATGTGGGCCCACATCACGGATTCGGTGAAAGCAGCCATCAAGAAAACAAACTCAATTCCTGCCGTTTTTCCTGGAGGTACAACAAAGTTTTTGCAACCCCTGGACATCAGTGTGAATCTGCATTTAAAGCAGCACTCAGGGCTGAATGGGAGGCTTGGATGACTGACGGGGATAAATCATTCACAAAAACTGGCCGAATGYGAAGAGCGTCATTTMCTGATGTAACAGCGTCTAACAGCGTGGATGAGTCCACCATCTCCAATGGGTTCTGAAAGACTGGACTGCTACGTGAAGAGGRCACCACAGCTTCAGAGCCAGCATTACCCAGGGAGGACAGCGACACAGAAAGCAACACTGAACAGATACCGCTGTGTGACGCAGCTTTTCTGAGCTTGTTTAACTCTGACACTGAAGAGGAGGACTTCGATGGTTTCAGTGCGCCGGAAGAAGATGAATGAGACGTTTTGGACCAGAAACTGTTAAAACTACCAAAATAAGGTCAGTTAAATGAACCGTATTCCTCCGAACTTTAATTCCTAAAGGTTTGCTTTTTATGTTTTGATGTTGAATTCACTTTCTTTATGACAATTTTGGGTGTACTGTTTTKTTTTTATGTTGGGGCTTATAGTCCGGTGCGGCTTATAGTCCGAAAAATACGGTAAGTCTGATTATGAAGGTAAATTAAATGTCTGACAGTGATCATTACACAGTGTGGCTCTAATTCCTCACTTCACCATCTGTGTTGCAGTTTTCCGTCTCCAAAATGAGCGTACACATGGGTCAGAGCTGGCTGAGGCACCGCACATTTTCACGTCAAGTTTGGATTTTATAAATCACAACCTTGGCGTGAAAAGTGGCGTACGCAAKTTTCTGGGCTCATATTGTGTGTACGCCAGTTTTATAAATCTGACCCCTGGTCCACTGTTCCACGCCCAGGATGAAAGCCACTTTGCTCCTCTTGAATCTGAGGTTAGAGCCTCCCTTCCAACTATTCTGAGTCGCAGAACGGTTTAAGTCCTTCTCCATGGCCTCCCCAAATTCCTCCCATGCCCAAGTTTTTGCATCTGCAACCACTGGTGCCACAGACCTTCTGGCCAACCTGTATGCATCAGCTGTTTCAGGAGTCCTCTGGGAAAACAAAGTCCTGAAGGCCTTCTTCTTCAGCCTGACGGCCTTCATCACCGCTGGTGTCCACCAACGGGTCCTTTGGTTGCCACCGTGACAGACACCGATGAYCTCACAGCTCCTGGAAGCCACATCTACAATAGAGGCCCTGAACATGGTCCATTCAGTTTCCATGTCCCCAACCTCCTCGGGACATATGAGAAACTCCAGGAGCTGAGAGTTGAAGATCACATGGACAGGGGGCTCTGTCAAAGGTTCCCAGTTCAGCTTCACTATATTTAGGTTTACCAGTTCTGTCTGGCAGCCTCCCCCACCACTGGATCCAACTCACCACCAGGTGGTGATCAGGTGACAGATCTGTCCCTCTCTTCACCTGAGTGTCCAACACACAGGGCCTCAGGTCAGACACCATTACAATATCAATCATTGACCTTTGGCCTAAGGTGTTCTGGTACCAAGTACACTTATGGACCACCCCATGCTCAAACATGGTGTTATGGACAACCTGTGCTTAGCACAGAAGTCCAATAATAATAGAACACCATTCAGGTTCAGATCAGGGAGGCTGTTCCTCTCAATCACCTCCTTCCAGA